ACCCAGTGGACCCATGTAAAATAAAGAGACTGGTGTCATGTTTATTTCTTTGAAAACCATATGCAAGCAGAAAGCCAGAGAGCCGCTCATACCAAGCCCGTGGTGCCTGTTTTAAGCCATATAGAGACTTGTTAAGCTTACATACATGACGGGGAAAGCGAGAATCAACATAGCCAGGAGGTTGCACCATGTAAATATCCTTATCAAGTTCGCCATGTAAGAAAGCATTAGAGACATCTAGTTGACGCAATGGCCAATCATAATGAACAGCAAGAGAGAACACGATCCGAATAGTCTGTTGCTTAACCACAGGACTGAATGTCTCAGAGTAATCTAACCCATACTCTTGAGTGTAACCTTTAGCCACCAAGCGTGCTTTGTAGCGTGAGATAGAGCCATCAGGGTTATGCTTAATCTTGTACACCCATTTACAGCCAATCGGAGCTCGACCTAAAGGCTTTGGAACAAGTACCCATGTGTTCTGTTTTATCAAAGCCAAATACTCCTCATCCATAGCACGACGCCAAACCTCATGTTGAGAAGCCTCTCGAAACGTTGTTGACCAAGAGGTCACGAGTTCGAAACTCACCGCCACCCAGTTTAAAAAAAATTAAGGTTTCACGTGCAAGACTTAAAGAGGTCACGCCTGCACGTGAGGGGGCGTGTTAGAGTATATAAATATCTATTCGTGGGCCACAACCACAAGCTTGAGCTTGTGGTTGAGTTGGTTCCTTGACAGAACCCACCAAGGTTGTCGACAACAATCATATATTCTCTCCGTCTTTGAAAATCTTTCTCTTTTCTTTTTTCATCCTATCTAAAAAAGTTTTTTTAATTGTATTATAAAGTTACTTTTATCCCTACTAATCTTTAACCTACTTATCACATCACATCTATTCACTATTAATCTACCCATCAAATCATACTTTACCCATCATATCAAAAGACATTTTTTGAAAACTCAACACCAAAATACACTCTTCTTAAATTCTTAAGAAATCATAACCTTCCATATTTTTAGTGACGGAGAGAGTATTATATATATATATATATATATATATATATATATATATATATATATATATATATATATATATATATATATAAGATAATCATCTGTGATTATCGGCTGTGTAGGTATAAAATTATATGTGAGAGCACTTCCTTGGATTTTAGCATTATTCTATATTTCTTCCATCCTAAAAAAACTTTGTATTTCCGTTGTGGGACATCTCTAAAAAATACTTTCTGTTCTTTTAGAAAAAAAATTTAAAATGGTCTTTTGTAATAAGGTATTTTCCCAATTCTATCTTCAATCCGTTCTAATTACCTACTTGGACTTTTATAATTAAGATTTATCTCTCAAGTACTCCTTCGTAAATAATGTAACTCAAATAATAATTAAAAAGTGTACTTTGGTATTTCTATCATCTAAATTTAAAGTATATCCTCAAAAGAATTATTTCTAAATAATTAAATGGAAAATTTAAAAAATACATTGACTATACATAATCCATGAATTACTAAAACAGTTAGAAAAAAATCTTTTAAAATTTGAATTAAATACATATCTTAAATGAGAAAAAACTATTCTCTGAAAAAACACTTCATTATAAAATTATCATTTTAATAACTTATTCTAAATTTAGCTGACAAAAAATGCCAAAATACCCCCCAATTAGTTATCATTTGAATAGCATTATTTACGAAGGGTTACCTAAGGAATAAATCTCAATTATAGAGGACCACGTAGGTAATTAAAACTTCTTGAGAATTGATTTGGAAAAAACACCTCATTAGAAAAGACTATTTTGGAAATTACTCTTCCTTTTATGTAAAATTTTGAATGATTCACATCTTTCTTTTTTTTTCTACATCATTTTCAAGTATAATTTTTTTATTTTCTTTAGACTTCAAGTCAAGTCAAAGTGAAACTTTTTTAGATGGCGGAATTAAATTTTATCAATCGGGCTAACATCAAAATCAGTGATTCACCGCTTACCAAACAACTTTTGTACAAAAAAAGTATAATTTCAATTTTAATCATTTCTTTTAAAAAATATTTTTGGTGGAAATATTTCTTAAGAAAAATAGTTTACATCACATTTCTATTTAGCTGGAATAATTTTTTCCTTTAAATTTTCTTTTTCATGGTTAATATCTAAAAAATTATATTTAAAAATTATTTTGAAATAAGTTAAAAATAATTTAACAAAATAAGGGCGTGCAGCACAGGGTGAGGGGAAGAACAGGAGCATTGGCACAGACGAAGAGAGAAGGGTGGGTGATGCGCGATGATGAGTGCTGGGGGACAGTGAAGGGTCGGGTGGTGGATGGATGGGGAGGCAACGTCCGTTGCACAAAGTTGCACGTAGCAGGGGTGGTGGGCTGTGGGGATAGAGGGATGTGAAGGGGTGGAGGGGGTGTGGCAGAGTATGAGACCGGTGGTAATACTGGTAACGCCCAGCGGCGTTAGGAGAGTTTTGACACCTGGGGGGCGTTAAACACCGCCCTTCTCTGCTGTTATAGGGGCGTTAAAACTCCTGCGTCAAATTTTTGACGCGATTTGAAGGTGTTATAACGCCTTCTTCCTTCTTTTTTCTCCCTCTTTTTTTCCCTCTTGTCTTCTCTATAAATTAAATTATTTTTTTTTAAAATTCAACACAAATACAAATTTCTCTCTATCTATCATCTTTTTTTAAAAAAATTTTATTCAAGTATTTTTTTATTTTTTCATGAATGTAATTTTTTATTTAATGTATGTAATTTTTAGATTTAATGAATGTAATTTTTTATAATGAATGTACTTTTTTTATTTAATTAACATAATTTTATTATTTAATGAACTATTCTCGTTTCAATTCTTTTAAATAATTAAATATTTAAATTTTATTAATTTAATTTTAGAAGATGTGTATTTAAAATGTAAAAAATGAAGGTTTGAAGCCCTGAGGCTTCAAACCCATTTCCACTAAAACTGTGAGGTAAGTTAAAGTTGACGTGACAGAGAAAGAAGGTTTGAAACCTCAGTTTGAAGTCCCGGAGCTTCATGGGTATTTCCAGTGCCCTGAGGGGGACGAGAGGTAGGAGTGGCAAGGATGGATGGTCGATGATGGTGGACACTTATTATAATATGTTTGACGTTGAATGGTTGATGATGGCGGTGGCTGGTGGGCGACACCACAATAGTGGAAGACAACATCAAATACGAGATTGATATCTTACAAATTGAGAATTTATTCTAATTAATAAATTATGATAACTGGAAATATCAAATTCATGTGATATTTAAGCTTTATCAAACACTTCTCCGAACATTATCTTTTGAGCTTAAACTCTCAACTTCTAATTTTTTCCAATTTCTGATATTTTTTTCTTGTTCTTCCAAGTTTTGTCCCGTTTTTTCTAGTTTCTTTGATTTTTTCAGCTTGTTTAAATTCTTTCAAATCTTTTCTAATTTTTTCAATCACTGATCCTGAAGATGATATATTTTCACCTGATTATCATCATCATCATCATCATCATATTCATAACTACACTTTATTAATGATTTCAATTTGTCTCTTTTTATTTCTTCCCTTGTCACTATTTTTGTAATTCAAGTTCATTATTATTTCCTCTTCTGTTTTAAATAAAAAATATAACTTTTTACTTAATTTATGCGATAGTGATCGATGTTTCAAAAAATATGGATAAAGGTGGAGTATTTTGTATTAATCTAAATTGAACTAGGGAAAATATTTATGTTTTAATTTAAAAAATACTCTCCCCCCAAAATGATTTTGGAATGTTTTGATTGACAATTTGATACTAAAATGTTTTTTACACTTTATTTTGTAGAGCTTCTACCGAAATTTTTAATAAGGGATTTTCCCAAATTAGTCCTCGATAAGTTTTAATTACCACAGAGGACCACATTAGTAATTAAAACTTATTGAGGACTAATTTAGGAAAATCCCTTATTACACTTTATACAAATTTGTAAATATCATACTGCAAGGAACGAGCACGGAATCACATACTGTATGAATTATGATAGCGAAACTCGTATCTTGTGGACTCGTCATACGAGCCTTTAGTGGGAATTATCCTCGTGGAAATGTGGAATAAGTCCATTACATATTTAAAATCCCTAATCCAACCCTGAGACATTCCGGCCCAAATGAGTGAAATAGGGTTTATGGAAGTTCTTATATACGGAGTATATAACTACTACGGCCTACACCGTACCCTGCAAACTCTCGAATCGTTTGATCGCAGCCCGATCGGAACACGGCGCTACGGCGTCGTAATTGATCGTCTCTGTCGCCAGAAGCTCTGTAAACGCCACTTCGATTTTTTTTCTTTAACTTAGAGAATCGAAGATTTGTTTTTGTTTGTTTTATAAATTTGTTTCAGAAGTCAGTGATGAATTTCATTATTGCTGGATAGTATTTGAAACCAATGAAAAGATTATAATGTTCTGAGACTTCGATTTTTTACTTATTTGTTTCATTAGATAGAAATTAGATCTGTGTGGAATCTGCGTGCAATGATGAAATTGGATTTTTCTGTCTTAATCTCGATGACAATTAGTTTTAGATTGGCCTAGATTCGTTATCTTCGCACGTCGCTCTCCCAGGCTCGTCTGAGTTCTTCATGAAGAAGAAGCAGCCCCAATGCACGTGCGAAATCAAACCAGCCGCTAGTGTTGCAGTTTAGCCCTTGTACATCTTTTTCCGTGGCTTTTCTGTGTCAAATCAACGGCGACACTACAATTTTCTTTTGATTCTAATCATCTGTTTGAATTCATTTTGAATTTGTTCTTGCGGTTTTAAATCTCTGGTTCTTTTTTGAAGAATTTGGCGATGATTAGTGTTTTATCCGCGCTTCCGAGCTTTGGCAATGAAGCAGAAAAATAACAATGGTTGAATTTCTTAATATGAGCCATAAGTTTTTTTTCAGATTTCTTGTTTGAGTTAGTTGATCTACTGCTGTGATGATAACAATTCAGCTTTAAACGCCAGTTCTGCTTCTGAACATCATTGATTGAAAGAGCTGTTTTTGTTCTCTGAGCCTCCTAAGATCTCTCTTTTCCCCCTATATTTTTGCCATTTTTTGTCTGAAAAACTCAGAAAGCCATGTTTTATCTATCAGCTTCTTTTCTGCAAAAAATGAGCTTGGAGTTTGTGATATTCGCAACCATTTTCACATGCTCGATTTTATGAAACTTTTGCCTTTGATGATCAAATCCATATAAATGAGGTGTGGTGGAGCCAGGTTCCTGCTTGCCAGGATGAACCTCCTGTGTGAAGTCATATACCATATGATATTTCTGGATTTAACTGAGGCAAATTATTATCTTTATATTTCACCTTTGAATTATTTATATTTAAACAATCTTTCTTTTTAGTGATTGCTAGTGAGGATTTAATCCATTAACCTGAGATGTTGTGGATCTGGGTTCCTGCTTTGCAGGGCGAACCTCCCGGGGATTTAATCCATTAATCCAACACTGAGTTTATCTATTTTAGCAACCAAATTGTTACTGGTTTGGCTTGCAGATTGAGGACTCATAGATTGAGTGCTGTCCATCACCTCCTATCTTAGGATATCAATTGGAATGGAGTCAAATGTAGCACAATAGGCTTTGTGACATTTTACATTGAATTTGTATGAGATGTTTTTTTTTGATTTGCAGGCTTTTGGTATCTGCATTCAGGTTCCATGCGTTTCACCCTAGAAATGGTTATCTCTATTCTCTTTATTCAATGTTTTATTTGTGCTTTACAATCAGATTCCTCAAGTAGACGGAATGATAAAGAAGCAATGATGATGATGATGATAACTAATCCCAGCTCTTTGAGATTGTCTTTTGTAGACGGTCCGGGAAAAGAACAGTTAATCTGAGCTTTCTTATGTTTCCCTTTTTCTTTCCTAATCTAGATTTTGTTTTATCATTTCCCAGTTCTAGTACCGCCGGTTCCTCTCACTCAGAGGATTGTTTGTTTATAGCCTCTACATGTTTGCAAATTCTTTTTGTTACTCTTTTTTTTTGATTTTTTTATACTTTTTGGAAAAAGTAATTTTCCAGCCGCGGGGAATGGGATGGCCTGGACGGAGATAACTCTGTTCCCGAATGAATTTTGATCACCGCATATTTAGCAGTTGACCATACCGACTTCATAAAATTTTTAAAAAGTACTTCCAGTATGGGAGTGGCGTGAGGTTGAAGAAGAAAAGGGTGAAAGAACAAGAAAAAGAAAGGGTGGGAGGGAAAGAAGAAACAAAATAGAAATTGGATCAAATTAAAAATTTTAAAATATGTAAAATTTTAATTTAACCCAAATGATTGGAACTTATCTTGGAAATGTGTAAATTATTTTTTAGTAAAAAAATTATGTAAGTTTAGTTATTCTTGTGAAAGGATTTAAGTTTAAGTACTATTTTAAAATTTTAGTGAAAGTTCAGCTATTATTGCTGAAATTTATCACACCAATTCAATGGCCATGTCTTTTTTCAGTGTGTTCACAAATTTTAGTGAAAGTTCAGCTATTATTGCTGAAATTTATCACACCAATTCAATGGCCATGTCTTTTTTCAGTGTGTTCACAAATGGAAACTTGTGTTTTGTATGGGCAGACTAATTACTTGAAATGTTAATTGTAATTGCAAAATTGTTTGAGGTGTTTAATCCCTCCCAATAATGCTATAACCACCTTTTTATATAAATTTGTTATATCTAAGAGAAATTGCATATCGACAAATGTGTCATGGTGTATTCTTGAACATGATGTAAATATATAATGCCAAAAAAAGTGCTGCGGTCAAAATTTTCACTCGAAAAACAATGAAACAAAAATTAAAGAATAATCAAATACTTGGTCCTCTTTGAGTGTTTGTTCACTTTTGACTTTTGAAACTGTTCATTTAAGCACTTTGACTCATCAAATTTTCTCAATGTGTAAGTCTAAAAATAGTCATGTGTGATTTTATTTGATTCGTCTTAACATATAGATTATTAATATATAATTTTTATAATTTTTTAATATACTCCTTCCGTTCTAAAATTAATTTCTCATTTGACTTTTTACAGTTTCTAATGCAACACTTTGATCATTAATATCTATATTTTTATATGAATATATATTATCATAATAATATATTTCAAAATTATGTTTCAAAATGAATCTATTGATACTAAATTTATATGAAAATTCAATATATTTTTTCCGTAATATGTAGTCAAAGTTTAAAAACTTTGATTGCAAAAGTCAAAATGGGAAATTAATTTTAGGACGGAGAGAGTACAAATTACAAGATAAAATGGATTAAAGAAGTGCATTGGATGGTGTGTAAAAATGAAAGGATAAACAAGACAAACTTAATTCTACACTAATCATTGGAGTGACTGCCAATAAAGTCATGGAAACGCATATTGTTAAACAAGAAATAACTCGAATGCCAAGAGTGAATGAAAAATAATTAGTTTATACAAAGAAGACTGTAAAGGGGGAATGAGGCTAGGAGTGTATGAAGTATCAATTTTTTAAATGGGGTAATGTAAATTTTGTTGTCATAATATGACACATTTTTGTTGTAAAATGAAGGGGATTGTTATTTTTATTTCAAATGATTTAAAGTTGTAACTTTGTAATTTATAGCATAGAAATATTCATTTGTAAAAATTAAAAACAAAGTTTATACATTGAAAATTATATTATTATTATGAAGTCTACAATTTTTTGAAAGTATCTGGCATAAATGCATGACTATGATGTAAAATCATGTGTGCTATGTAGCGTTGTAAAACGAACTAATCGAATATATTATGAAATTTTATTCATATTTGGAAAATGATACCGTTTTTCATATTCATATTTGTTTCTTATTTGAATAGATATTAGTATTTGTATTTGATTTGATTTTAATTTCAAATATTCACTTTGTATTCGTATTCTTTAATAAAATACTCCTTCTGTCCTTTCTAGATCTTCCCAATAGCCTTTTTCTGTGTCCAAAATAGATTTTCTCATTTTATTTTTTAACAATTAAAATACCACAACTACCCTCACTTACTTTATTTATTACACCTCACCCACCTTATTTAATACACTCCACCCGTTTTCATTAAGGATGTTATAATAAACTTTCAACCTTTTTCAACTCTCCTTAAAACTCTCAAAAGTCAAAATGAGAACATCTTAGGGAGACAGAGGAAGTACAATTTTTTATTTTTTTTTACATTTTATAGTTTCAAAAATTATAAAAAAATTACCTAAATAAGAGTGAAATATAGAGAAAGTTTAAAATATGAAGTTCATGTTTTATCTCTAAAATAAGAATTTGCACTGTGATAATATGAGACTATATATAAAGAATTTACAACACTCTTTAGTAAGGTAGATGATCATAATCGACATTGTAAATTGTTTTAACTTCTATTTCCAAACTAAAACATATAACTCATAATTTGATATATTTTCAATGTTTTATCATTGTTTTAGTTTTTTTCCCCAAAATTAATAAGGAGATTGTTTGTAGGCACGTCTTGCCACTATGGTGTACTCTTATTATGAAGAAAATATATTAGGCATAAGTTTCTATATTTAAATTTGAACATATTTTTTAACATATCAAATCGAATACATATACAGTTGTATTCATATCCGCTTTCTTTCAAATTCTAAAAAATATTTATATTGTTATTCATATTCATTTTTTCAAATACGAATAATTAATTTCAAATACAAATCATGAATCGAATGAAAATTATTCATTTGTTTTACAACTCTAGTGTTATGGTGTGTGATAAGGAAAGTGATAGTGCAAAAGTATGAATTTTTTTGATTGATTGAGGTAAAACAATAATGGAGTACCCAACTCCGTCTCTGTTTGATTTAAGAAGAACGGATTACACTACTTCCTCTTGTTAAATACAGAGTATCAACATGCCACTTTGTATACCTCAAATTTAATTATAATTATATTATTTTGTCAATTGATCAATAAAAGCACATAAATAAATAAAATCATAATGTTTTTAGAATAATATATAGCATAAAATTTTATTTGAGAAAAGAAAGCATATATATATATATTGCAAAGCATGTTATACCATATAATTCTATTGGTAGAAATTATATTAAATTAAATTTAATTTATAAAAGTTATTTTAAAACTGCTAAGTTTGCCAAACAATTTTTTATTAACAACCAATATAATCGATTGGTTAAAACAACCAACTCAACCAGCCAACACGAACACCTAACAGCCAAGTGCCAACAGCTAAATTCCAAACACGACCATTCTAACAAAGATCAATTTCCACAATGCATTGATTAGGTAGAGACACCCAAAGATCAAATTTATATGGTAACAAAGTTAATAGAACTAGGTTCTATGGTTGTTTTCTCTGAGTGATCACAAAGGACATTATTTCAATTGGAACATATATTGTGTTTCAATTGCAAAATTGATAACTCATACTTTCTTGCTGTGGTAGACCTTTTACCCTCTCAATCCCAACACTTTTCTACTCATATCAATTGTATCTTGTTAGTTTAGTTGATTTTGAAATTAAACCTTTTAACCTCAAAGTGAATTGAATTTGTGTGGTGCAATTGATGTGGCATGTGGGTGAAGATGAGTTGGAGTTGAGATTGAGTGTGAGGTTAACCAAGAGAGTTAGATGGTATGAATTACTCCGTATCAATTTTGAAAACAAAACTTCAGTGTCCAATATCTTCTGTGGCCACTCAATGATACGAATATCGTATCGGATAGGGAAAAACTTCGAGCGTCTTCGGGCTCCACGAAAGGGGAGGTAAAGAGAGATGAAAAACTTTGAGCGTTTCCGGGCTCCAGAGAAAAGAGAAACGAGAGATTGGGAAATTCTTGATTATTGATTGATTGAATGATAATGATACGGGATTACAATATATAGCGATGAGACGCCACACCCACATGACCTAATGGGCTCGGGCCCATACGAAAACCCTAATCTATAAAATATTGATAAATAATAATAATTAACTATTAAATAATAATATAACTAATTAAAATATTCTAATTAATTATCCGTATCATTCCCACCCCCTTAAAATCCACCTTGTCCTTAAGGTGGAGGCTCCCACTCGTGTTCTAAGACCGGAGAAAGAGTGTTGAACCAAAGGAGTAGTCCACTCTTTGAATCTTCAACCATCTTGGCTCGTAGAGAAAAGCAAAGGAAATACGAGACAAAGCCAATAACATATGTAGGTACTCTCAATGAAAGCACCAATGATACATGGAAGGTAGAGGTTGAGGGAGAGAGGGGAATCGGCAGAGAGGGATCAGGGAAGAGAAAAGGAGGAGAATTAGGTTTAACTTCTTCTCATTATTATGATAGAGCACCTCTCCTTAAACAGAATTCGAGGAGCCCAAAAACCCTAGTATTCTACGTTATCTATCCTAACGGTTCAAGAAAAGCAACGAGGTAAAGAACCGTAAAGAAACCCTCGAAGGAGTGTTATAATTCCACTCACCTCGAAAAATCCTAAAAATACATTAAAAGTATGACTCAGATTAAAAGTTAACCAGCCGTCCCGACCTTCTCAGATTGTCCACTTGTGCGTCCACGTTGGGCTGGTCCGGCTCAACCCGTGCCACGGATTCTTCTGCACTCTGCGTCGTATCACTCAAAGAGAGTAAGTTGAGTAACTGTTGAATCGAATTGAATGTAGTCCCAGAGTATCTCTAATAGATCCTTAACTCTAAAGATTTGGTGTTTTAGTTCTTCGAGTAGTACTCCAATGCATTTTATCTTGCTTACTCCTTTCGTTTGGAAATGTTATTCTGATTTGATTTTTGTTGGTCAAAAATTGTAAATTTTGATTCTGATATATGAAAAAATACATTGTATTATCATATAACTTTAATGTCAGTATATTCGTATTGAAATATAGTTTTTAAATATCAAATTTTTATAAAACATATCTATATATTAATGAAGATATTAGTGGCTAAAGTGCAGTATTGGAGATCGTGAAAAGTTAAATGAAAGAACATTTCCGTGGAAGGAGCCATATTTTTATTCTATAAATTAATAAACGGTGCATATAGTATCTTCAATTAGCAAGTTATTAGTATTTAGTAGTCCATACTCCTTGTGGATAGTACAATATTTATTTTATTAATTTTAGGCTTTTCCCCCAATGATATGCAAAAATATAAATTAAAAAAACCTTAAAAAAATACTCAAATTTAATGGGAGTATTTTTATAGCTTAATGCATTTTTTTGAATTACAAAATATAAAAAGAAGTGAAAATTTGGTTGAATTTGATTTGAGTTTGAGTTTTGAGTAATTGGTTAGGGATAAACTAGTGCATCACCCGTGCGATGCACGGGATAATATTTACTTATAAATTCAAGATGAAATTAAAAATAATTGAGTGAGTATTTTGTTATTTTCTCTTCTTACTAATTCATATATATATATATATATATATATATATATATATATATATATATATATATATATATATATATATATATATATATATATATTAAAATAGAGCTAGTAATGAGCAAATTAAGCTAGGAAAATATGATCTTTGCTACTTATTTTTAAAACAATTTTTTTGTTTCTCCATTTTTAGAAATTTATTCACAAAACTATCATTTATCATTTGTGAATATTTTCAAATAATATATCTATCATTTAAGTCATTTTTACTTCAACGAAAGAATTAGGGGTGAACATGGTACGGTATTGGTATGATATTTAGCTCGTACCGATACTGTACCAAATATTTCGGTTCAATATGAGATTTTACCTCGTACCGATCCCGATCCCAAAATATCGATTCAATATGGTTCGGGATGGTTCGGTATCGATTTCGATATAAATCGGGATGAATATACATAACTACTTTGCACGTTAAAATCTAACAATGACACATTACTTTTGAAATTAAAAAGTGAATTTAAATAAAAAAACATGAAAAATTTAAAAAAAATGAATATTTAAATGCAAGAAATGCGTATCAAAACGTAGTTTATATTTCACAAACTAAAAAATGAATAACAATTAAGGAATATTTCAAATCTTTGTAAATACTTTCATGTTTATACACAAAAGTTAAAACTCAAATAATTATATACTTTACACATAATAGAACTTGAACTAATATTTAGTAAAGGTATATAAAAATATTACTCCAGGATATTATTTTTTATAATATTTTAGTATATATGTTCGGTTCAGGATTTTCGATATGGGAAGTCCCCTCGTACCATTCCCAAATACCGTACCGACCATTCAGTTCGGTACGGTTCGATTCTTTCTCAATAATTTTTCGGCTCGATATTTTTCAGTTCAGTATTCTCGGTTTTTTCGGGAAATTTTAGTATCGGTTCGATACTTGCTCACCTCTAGAAAGAATATTAGACTTAAAAGCAGCTTATAAGTTAAGAATTATTTATTAACAATAAAGCAATAAGTACCAACACGGAAAAAATATCTACTATGTAAAAATATGGAATACAGAGTTTTTTTTGAAGTATCTATACAAAAAAGAACACTATTACAAACTTTAGGCGTAGTATTATATACCTCCAATATATGCTATTTTATAAATAATTTGGAGGATAAAATCTCAAATGTATGCTCTGATTGGAAAGCTAAAAAATAGAATAATTTATATTTTAGCTTCCTCACTCTCTATAATTGAAAGGCCCTACACATCTTCTATTTCTCTCATTTCTGTCCATCATATGTCTTCAACATCATCTATTGATACACACAAAGAAATCATCTGCCTTCACCAAAACTACTCCTTCAATCATCCTCTAGTCCTTTGTTCCTTCAATATCAAGATAAGGTGTATTCCTACTGCTCCTTCAATAGATGCATACATTGGAGGAAGAAACAAAGGACAAAGGGTGTATTCCTACTTCTCCTCAAGTCACTTTTGGCACCTCAGTAACATGAATAGCCAATATAAGATAGACAATATGTCATTGACATTTCTACTATAAAATTATGATATTAATTGAATCTATCATGACTGGCAAAAAGTGATTCAACATCAATAATATCTCATAATAAAACATAACATTATGTCAATGCCTCAAAGACTCCCACCTACCGCAGAGTAAAGGGGGCCGGATGTAATATGTTTAAAAGATAAAACTACAATTTCCAAATGACCGATGATAAGCATTGAAAATCACTTAGTATATTATAATCGCGTTGAAAATTGCATCAATTCTAAAGCATGAATAACAGATCCAACAAAATGTTAAACTCTTGAAATTGGAGTTGTATACAAATTTAACTTTTGCACTATAAAGTTATGAACTAATTGATACAAAGTAGATTTTATTCAATATCTTGTTAATTCACATAGCATAAATTATGTTTAATACAAAACAGAAAACTGTCCTTCAGGAAAGAAAAAAATGCTGCTTGACAGGTTAAGGAATACCTTACCCCACACCTTGGTGAATAACTTTGCATTGCTTATAACTTTTTTTAGCATCTTTGCTTATACTTTTTTTAAAAAATGTATAAAAAAAGGTGCTAAATTGGCTAAAGTAAACCCAAATTAAAAATTAGATTTAAAAAAATGGAGTGAGTTACAAACTGCACAGTGCTATTTCACAGCATCTTGAAAGTGGTCAACCGGTTAGATTCAAATCAGAAAAAATAAATAATTTTGAAGATGTTTTTGCTCCAAATCAGAAAATAAAAATAATTTTGGACCTCACATGTTGAGGAGATGAAGAGGTGAAAGGAAAAAGTACCTTTTTTTTTCTCGCAAGTCCAATTGTCCTTACTGTATTGCTACCATGAGCAGCAACATCCCACCTACGAAAGGTGTTTTTGATTTGTCTCTAGTTGAACGCAAAAACAGCCACCATGGAGACCACAGAAGTAACAAATCATATTTTGCCAAAAATCTCTACACGTTCAAACTAAAAAAGTGAACAAATTTAAGACGGTGCAAACAACATTACTCGTATCTCAGCATATGAAGATGCATAAACACTCCTAAAGGATAACATTTTGCTAAAATTCAGAGAAACAACTTTACTTTCTCTTCAACCTTCTCATCGCACAACACGAGGGGTTTTTCTTAAGTTGATATTTGGAATTTGGAGATGTTTTTTCTTTTTTAAAAATTGATAAAATTGCAAGTATTAAAGAATCAAAGGCCAATCACACAACAAACACATAAATACTGACCTCATAAAAATTCATTTCCTAGCAGCATTTAATCAACTTTGCTAATGATATATTGTAAAACTATTGTTTGAACATTCGATACAATAGAAAGAAAAAAACAGGTACTTACAAGCCATTTTCGATGATACTTTTATGTAGGAAGAGAGTTGACATAGTTGTGCTGTTTATAAGTTTCGTGAAGTCCAAGAGCTTGTCATAAAAAAAAGTTGCTGTATTTGCTGCAAGTAAACAGAAATTTAAAAAAATAAAGTAGATAATCATGGAATTCAAGTAAATATGTCGCAGATTTTTTAAAATAAAAACTATTTCATATCAAATTTTCTAACAATTCAGCATCTAAAATTCAAAAATCAAACCCTAACTGTTGTTCCTAAGCAAATATACCAATGTTGATTCATGTTTCAAGCATATACACTCTAGGTATAAAAACAGCATTGCAAACAATAAAAAATTGTGAAGAATTAGGTGGCATAGGTTAGATTTTTTTAGCAAATTCAGCACACAATGCTCACAGATTAGACCNTCCTTAATCTTAAAAGAAGGTCGTTGTCAGGGGAGCAGGATACCAATTGAGGTCGGCAGTTGACCTCCTATTGACGGTGTTGTGAGATATCCACCTGATTTCAATACCCATGATTTGTATTCCCAAATCAAATTGCCATCGCTGGATTGCATGAGCCTCTCGTTGAGACCTTCATCGACAAACGACTGGTGTCGAGATAGGGTGTGTCGAGTATTATCTAAGAGATGGAAGAGATGCAGAGATGCTGGGCGGAGAAGATGGAATTCATACGGAAACAGCAATTAGGGTAAGGCGCACAACCGCAAATGTCTTTTGACATGGAGTTCGAACGGTGGCCTTAGGAATTGACGGCTAGATTTGCAGATGGCAAATGAAATTGGACCGTCGGATATGAGCTAAATTGAACTGATTTTTCCATCAGCTTTTATATATATAGTAGATAGATTATTACATTTTAGATTTGAGTTACGGATAAACAAATGGAGTAATTGTCGTGGTCCAAATAAAAGTGACATCAGAAACTAATCAAACAAGGCTCTGTTCTTAATTCTTATGCATCAGGTAAGATTCGAGAGGAGGAAGAATAACAAACAAGAAGACGGGGATGGGCGCATTCTCACATTTATTCAGAGCTCTTCATACCAATCCTTCAAACTATTCTAAACTTGCTGTTCTCTTCTCCGTCAGGTTATCTTCAATCCCCCTTTTTTTGTCATTTCCACCTTTGTTTTGATGAAAAAATTACATTTTGACCAGAGCCCACCTTGATTCTTGGAGTTCCCACTGTTTAATTCTCACTATTTTTGAGTTTTCCTTCAGAATATGCAATCTGGAATCTGTATTCTACCCCCATATTTTGTGCTTATAGTGTGTGTGTGGGTTCAAATTGTCTAGGTTTTAATAATCTAGACATTATAAACAGCAATATTGATCCCAGATTTTATTTTCATCTTCAGAATTTTATGGACCTTATATAAATGGAATTTAATCTTTGGAGTTTCTTGTGATCCTATCCTTGACTGACTAAGGGGTGTTCTTTATAATGCATTAGTTTAGAAGTGGTTAGGTTATTTCTTGATCTGAAACTCTGAACCGATTGCAACGTATAAAGTGGCATCTCTCTGTAATGATGGATTGATGATTAAAGGAAAGATGCATATTTTGGAGGTCACATTCTTTTTTACTATGAGTTTATGCCCATTAAGCTATGCATTTAACAGCCAAACAAACCCTTAACCTGCACATTTTGTCGCATTGTCACTTGTTATCTCCACATTTGTGAATAATAAACATAAGTTATTCTCGGCTAATCATGAAGTGTTTTCTTTTATTGGTTCGAAACTTGTATTTGGCCTTGATCTTTTAATCCAAAATGTGTCTTTATGCTGTAGTGGAGGTCTGATTGCATATGCAGACTCCAATCCAAAGAGTGAGACAAAGGCGGTGGAACATATTGAGTCAGTCGAACCAAAGAAGAAAAAAGTGTTGGTGTTAGGGACAGGATGGGGTGGCACTAGTTTCCTAAAGGATTTGGACATTTCATCCTATGATGTTCAAGTGGTCTCGCCTCGAAACTACTTTGCCTTTACTCCATTGTTACCTAGTGTCACATGTGGTACCGTTGAGGCAAGAAGCATAGTTGAACCAATACGCAACATAATAAAGAAGGTAAAAAAATGATTAAGTTTGTAACCAATATTTTGAAATTTTATTTATTTTGTTATGTTTCCGTTCACCCCACCTTGGCAGAGAAAGGGAGAAATTAAATTTTGGGAAGCAGAGTGCTTGAAGATTGATGCAAAGGGAAAGAGAGTGCATTGTCGTTCTCTCATTGATGAAAATTTAGTTGGGAAGAATGATTTCTCATTAGATTATGACTATCTGGTTGTAGCCGTTGGAGCAAGAGTCAACACTTTTAACACCCCCGGCGTTCTGGAGAACTGCCATTTTCTGAAGGTTTATCTCTCATTTCACAAAGGAAATAGATATTTTTTTCGTGAATCCCTACATTTTCACAGAAAAAGAAACAATCTTTGTGTATTTTTAGGAAGTAGAAGATGCTCAAAGTATTCGTCGAGCTGTGATTGATTGCTTTGAAAAGGCAGTGCTTCCAGAGTTGAGTGAAGAGGAGAGGAGAACCAACCTCCATTTTGTCATAGTAGGGGGCGGTCCAACTGGGATAGAATTCGCTGCAGAGTTACATGACTTTGTTCACGAAGATTTAGTGAAAATATACCCATCTGTGAAAGATCTTGTGAGAATCACCATTATCCAATCCGGAGACCATATTCTGAACACGTAAGTTTTATCATTCCTGCTTTTTTTTAATTAAAAAAATTCTCATGCCAAACAAACCCTTAATATTCGCGCTGGCAGGTTTGATGAAAGAATCAGTTCCTTTGCTGAGCAGAAGTTTCAAAGAGATGGAATTGAGGTTTTGACAGGATGCCGAGTGGTTAGTGTTACTGATAAACTCATTAACATGAAATTAAAAGCTACCGGAGAAAATGTTCCGGTGCCACATGGAATGATTGTGTGGTCAACTGGTGTTGGTACTCGCCCGGTTGTTGCAGATTTCATGGAACAAATTGGTCAGGTACTTTTGTTTGCTTGGGTCAACTTTTGTGCCAATGTGTTTGCTTTGAATTGTGATTCTGGGTTTGGTTTTTGTATTTAGAGACCAATCATTTAGATAAAGAGAAAAAAAGACTGAACTAGGAGTTAAACATATTAAAAAAATACCGAAATAGAAGCTCCATGTTTTTACTCCCAAAATAGGAGTTACAATGTCACTACTATCAATATATAATACCAAAAACACTGCAAACTCCTATTTTGAAGATAAAAACATGTTACTCCTATTTTGGGATAATGGTTATGTTTTACTCTTATTTTGGGTGATTTCTTTTAGATGAAATCTCATTTTAATGTATATGTGCAGACCAACCGGCGTGCACTTGCAACTGATGAGTGGTTAAGAGTCAAAGGCTGTGAGAGTGTGTATGCTCTCGGTGATTGTGCCACTGTAGATCAACGCAAAATAATGGTATGTTCTTCATGATAGTGCCACTGTAACTGTTAAAAATCCCAAATCTTCTCACTCGTGTAAACCGGTTTGTGGTTTTAGGAAGACATTACGACCATTTTCAAAGCAGCAGACAAAGACAATTCGGGCACCTTAACGAACAAAGAATTTGAAGACGTTATTGAAGATATCATCATTAGGTACCCTCAAGTTGAACTGTATGTGAAGAACAAACACCTGCTTGAAGTAGTGGACTTGCTACAAGACGATGAAGGGAACAAACAAGGCGAGATAGATATTGAGGGGTTCAAGTTAGCCCTCTCTCACGTCGATTCACAGATGAAGAGTCTTCCTGCAACTGCTCAGGTCTTGTCCCTTAAAAAAATTCGCCTTTTCTTGTGCCTCCATTTGAAAAAAACAGTTCCGCATCCCACAAACACTTCTACCCCGCCTAAAGTGTCCATAGTACCACCAAAATGGGGGGTATTTTGGACATTTTGTGTGGGGTAAAAGTGTTTTGTGAGATGCACAAAAAAATGAAGGTCGAACAGTTTTTTCAAACGGAGGGAGTAATATATATTGCGCGCTCCAATGTAGAGTTATATTGAATGGGACTTGCTAGGTGGCTGCACAACAAGGTGCATACCTATCGAGGTGCTTTAACCGTTGGGAACACTGTAAAAACAACCCAGAAGGCCCTCGCCGTTTCAGAAGTTCTGGGCGCCATGAGTTTCTCCCTTTCAGGTATGCTTTCAAGTTTTTCCTGATATATGTTCTTGTCATGAATGGACAATGTAAAAAAAAAATTGCACTTTGGTTCAGGTATAGGCATTTTGGTCAATTTGCCCCCTTGGGCGGGGAGCAAGCAGCAGCAGAGCTTCCTGGGGACTGGGTTTCCATGGGCCGCAGCACGCAGTGGCTCTGGTACTCTGTGTACGCGAGCAAACAGGTGAGCTGGCGCACGCGTGTCCTCGTTGTTGCTGACTGGACACGGAGATTCGTCTTTGGGCGGGATTCTAGCCGCATTTGATGCTGCCAATCCAAGTCACCTTATATCAGCTTTTATTGTTGTTTTTTTTACAACCTTAAAGTAGGCTGCTTCTTGTGACAGAAAGCAAATGTTTGAGTTGAAGAATGGAGACTATAAGCAGAGTAGCTACACTTTTTCAAACTCAGCATACAACTGTAAAGCCAAAGAATATATATTTTGACCATTAATTAAATAAATCTTATACGGAGTATAATATATATTCATACACGAATAATTTTATTAAATTTATCTTGTAACATATTTTTAAAATATTATTTTACTTAATTAATATATCATACAATTTTTACTTAATTAAAGTCAAATGTCAATTTTCATTGGAATTCAAACTATGGAATTGGAATTGAGGACTTCAATTCCAATTCTGGTGTTTGGTAGCACAAAAATTATGTGGATTTGGAATTGATAGTGCAAAAAATGAATTAAAAATTGGTAAATTCAATTCTATGGAATTGAATCTCATGGAATTTCAATTCCAATTCAATTCCAATTCCATCAATTCCGTATACCAAACGGACCTTGAAAGTAAAAAGTTGGAACTGAATGAATACTCTAGCGAATATTATATACCGGATTAAGTGAAAAATATTTTTAGGTACAAAAATTGTGTAATGATGAATGCAAGTTTTTAGGTGTGTAATACATGTTCACACTAACTCTTATAAGTTTGTACTCCCTCTGTCCCAATTTATAATGCATGTTTCGGTTTACGATGTTTGACTGAAATTATCTTCAAATCATTTTATATGACAAATGGTATAGAGTTAAAAAATAAAAATTACATATTAAAATACTAAATCAAAAGATCTACAAAACTAGTGGTGACAATAGTACTTTATTTTATCAAATTGCTAACAAAAATAGAGAAAGAAAGTGAATGAAGTTTGATCCTGTGAATATTGAAATGCATTATAGTTTGGGACTGAGGGAGTAGTAGTTTTAATTTTTAAATGGTTTTCAACTTATCAAATTCATATAAATTAGTTTACACAAAAACTTCAACTGCTTATCTACTACTCCTTCCGTTCACAAATAAACTTTCTGTTCACTATTCACAAGATCAAGCTTTATTCACTTTGTTGGCCTATTTTCGTCACCCATTTGATAAAAATAATATAGTCATGTCATCTCTAGTTTTGTAGATCTTTTAATATAGTTTTTTGATATGTAATTTTTATTTTTAAATTTTACACTATTTTTCATATAAAATGATTTGAAAATAACATCAGTCAAACATCGTAACGCGCAACAAAAAGTTTATTTGTGGACAGAGGGTATAAGATACACTTCACTATTTATTTATTTATTTTTTTGAGTAAATTCTATAATTGGTCCTTTATAACATGGGGGTTTCTCTATTTAGTCCTCTATTATCAAATATTATACAAGTAGTCCTTCTTTTCTGGGTACCTTTCCACAAATAGTTCTTTTTTTTTGATTTTCTATCATGTTGGTGTTAATTTGAGGGCTAAAAGTGTAATTTCACAATGATAACATATCTTTTTTGTCATACACAAGGCAGTTCCGTTTGCGTCGTTTGTGAATTACAGTCGCTTTTTACGACAACTATAGTCTACAAATGTGATCTTTCGTCAGAATCCTAGCCCATAATCATAGTCATTATTTTTGTGTTATCCGTTTAACCAATATCAGAACACGTCACTAGACATAATATTGACGTCAAATTATACTTTTAGCCTTTAAATTAACACCAACACGGCAGAAGATCAAAAAAGGACCATTTATGGAAAGGTATCCTTAAAAAAAAGACTACGAGGGTAATATTTGATAATAGAGAACTAATATTGAAACCCCTGTTATAAAGGACTAATTATGGAATTTACTCTGTTTTTTTTTTGAAAAAACTCTTGTATTAATTCAAGGTATCAGCATACAAACCATTCAAAATAAAATCTGGAGGGATTGACACCCACTCCAAGAAACTCAAGAAACGGATCCTGGCTCGCCGACCCGACCTGCCACACGTGTCGACGTTCACCGTGACATGCTCGTACATGTGGATTTGCGTGGTGCGAGCTCGACGCGAGGCCGGCGGCGGCGCGTATAGCAGCGACGACGAGAACTTGCTCTTTGCTTTCCCGGCGGATTGTCGGGCGCACTTGGATCCGCCGCTGCCGGGGAACTACTTCGGCAACTGTCGTGATCGGAGAAGACGGGCTTGCAGAGGCGGCGGCCGTGATCGGAGGCGGCATACGCCGCCGGTTGTACAGCGGGGAAGAGGATGGGCTGTTCAAAGGAGCTGAGAATTGGTTGACGGGTTTCTCCGGCATGAAACCCGATCAGATTCTTGGCGTGGCTTGGTCGTCTAATTTTGACTATTATGGGCTGGATTTTGGGTGGGGAAAAGGGAAGAAGTTTGAAATGCCGTCCATTGATATAACAGGGGCCATCTCTATCAGCGCTAGCCGCAAGGAAGAAGAAGAAGAAGAAGGTGGCGGTGGAAGGGAATTCGGCCTGGCTTTGACTCCCACCGGATGGAAGCTTTTGCCAGGATTTTTGCCCAGGGTTTGATTAATACAGAGTAGAAAAGTGTAGAATTTTGTTGATGATGATGAAGAGGAGGAGCAGATGGGTGATTGTGTGTGTGTTTTCACTCTCATTTCCTTGAGTGAAATTTGGAATAAATACTACTCCCTCTCCCTCCGTACCTAAATAGATTACAATTTTTTTTCTCTCCTCTCGATAAGTTTTGTTTGTTTACGCGATTTAATTAGGTATTTGATAAAATAAAATATTCTTGTCACCTCTTATTTTGTAGAACTTTTGACGTAGTTTTTTAATATTTAATTTTTATATCTTATTGATATACCAATTAGTAAATAAAATGATTTCAAAAAGTAAAAATTTTTACTCCGTAACCCGCAATTTGTAATCAAATTGGGGACGGAAGGAGTATTAAAACATGTCCTTTTTAATGTACTACAAATTTTTTTAATCACTAGATAGTGAGTCTTGAATAAGTATCTAGTAGCGAAAACAGTGTTTCGTGATGATGAATATTTAGTTTGAACAATGTCCTGTGATGTTGGATATTTAATTTGAACAATGTCTAATGGTGGTGTACCTTTACTTGGATAATGTCCAGTTGGCATATCGAACAACGGCACTATATTGAGAAATAAAAACATACTCCATCCGTTTCTTAAAACCCTTCCTCTTTCATTTTTTTTTGTTTTTCTTAAAACACTTCCCCTTTCTATTAAAAAACCACTTTTACCCCTACTTTTTCATACCCTACCTATCACATCATACTTTTTCACTAACAACTAAACTATCACATCTTACTTTACCAATCACATTAAGGGCAAAATTGGAAAGTCAACTACAATTTAACACTTCCTTATTTTCCCCCAAAGTCAAAAAAGGAACTCTTTTGAGAAACGGAGGTAGTATGATACTACATTAAGAAAGTCACTATAGTTTAGTACGGAGTACTATTTAGATAAATCCTCGCTACTTAAGAAATCACTCTACATAGCACTCTAAGATACTCAATATTACCCATATAGCACTTAATATTTTATATGAATTTAGCTATTTATAGTGTCAATATCTTCCAAGCATTCCTTCTACCTTTTATTATATTCTACTATTTTTAATTACTTTTGCATAATGTCAAAGACGATAATGTCAAAAAAATTTCAATACAATACCAACCAAAGCCATAATGTCAAAGACGATAATGCATACTGACAAACATGTCATTGCATAATGCCAAACATGTTTTGCGTAATGCCAAACATGTCAATATAAAATCTAAAAAAAAGTGAAATGTCAAGATTGCACACATACAATGTCAAGTTTCTTATCACTATCACCAAATTTTGCTAAAATTGGGAACAAGATTTAAACACAACTAATACAAAAACAATCAAACAAAAAAATTAAAAGGAAAAACAATCGAATACAAAAATGAAAAGAAAAAACCAAACCAAAATCAATGCCTAATGAAGATGCAATTTTTCGGAGAAAAAACGATGAATGCAATTAGTTGGAAGCATTTCTTACTTCTACGATGCAGTCTCAATTATAGAGCATTTGGAAGCTAATTAAAAATCAAAATCATAGTCATCGCGACTAGCGGCAATCTCAGCTCTAATGGATATAGGCGATGCGATAGATCTGCAAGGGGGAGAGATAGAGGCGTAAGTTTGTTTTTCGTGCGATTTCTATGATTGTGTGGAATTGTCTAAAAGACGTATTTGTTCTTCAACAGACTTTCAAGTGCGTAGAAAAATACTGCTCTCACTTGGTTTAATAAATACATTAAAAGTAACTATTATTAATTGTCACGACTAGAGGAAAGATCGGAACCACCACCTCTGTTCTTTGTTTGAATTTATTTCCCTAGAGATGGTACGGTTTTAAAGAAATTGATGCGATGTTTTCTTTCTTTATTACTTAATTAATTATTTCTATTGAGAGGATTTTAAGTTTGAACTCCTATTTTAAAGATATGACATATATTTTACTCCTATTTAGGGGGTTTCTTTAAATGAAAACACTCATACACATTTTTGGAAGTGTGTAATTCATATATGAAAACAGTGTGAAATTCATACATAAAGAGAGCTATACATTTTTTGGGCAGTGTGGAATTCATACCTGAACACAGCCATACACTTTTTGAAAGTGTAGAATTTATACATGAAAAGACTTCCACATAAATCAATGGACATTGCACTCTAACATGAAATTAAGGAACACAATAATACACTTACACATTGTTGTAAGATATAAGAACATATATCAATTCTACACTGCCAAATTAAATACTCACATAAAAAAACCGCAATGCCTTTGCAATTTAATAAAATGAAAAAATTGGCTGGCGTTGTGTTCCTTAATTTCATGTTAGAGTGCAATGTCCATGTAGAAACGACGTGAGCGCAACAACGACGGCGCACCAACGACGTTAGCACAAGGGTTTGACGAATAGCCCTAGAAAGGCTCTGATACCATGTAGAAACTTATTTACGTGAAAACTTGCGTTTTACATTAGTTACACGGGATATATATACATAAAGTCTCGGGCCTATGATTTACTTGGCCCAATACACAATAAACAAATATATACAAATATACTAGGCTAACAATGTAGAAACTTATTTACGTGAAAACTTGCGTTTTACATTAGTTACACGGGATATATATACATAAAGTCTCGGGCCTATGATTTACTTGGCCCAATACACAATAAACAAATATATACAAATATACTAGGCTAACACTCCCCCTCAAGTTGGAGCATGAATATCATGAATGCCCAACTTGGACAATAAGCAGCGGAAAAGAGGACCGGAGAGAGCCTTTGTGAAGATATCTGCCGTCTGAAAACGCGTAGGAACGTAAGCAGTAACAATGTGGTTGCGCTGAAGACATTCTCGGACAATATGGCAATCAATATCGATATGTTTCGAGCGCTCATGAAAAACTGGATTGGCGGCAATGAATAGAGCAGACTTGTTATCACAATACAAACGAAGAGTCGCTACACAGGGAACATCCAAGGCCGCCAAGATACCACGCAACCACCGGATTTCAGCACATGCGTTAGCCATGGCTCGATACTCAGCTTCGGCAGAAGACCTGGAGACTGTAGTTTGCTTCTTAGTACGCCATGAGATCGGAGAACCACCCAACAAAATAAAATAACCGGTGACAGAACGACGAGTAAGTGGACAGCTGGCCCAATCAGAATTAGAATAAGCACTTAGGGCAAGATTACTGTCATTACGCAACAAGATACCCTGACCAGGGTGTCCCTTAAGATAACGAAGAACACAGAGAGCAGCATTCCAATGTCAAGACGTGGAGCCTGCATAAACTGAGACAATGTATGAACAGCATAACAAATATCAGGACGAGTAATGGTGAGATACAGCAAACGGCCCACAAGGCGACGACATTTCTGAGGATCACGAATCTCAGCACTGGTGGATCGAGCCAAATGATGATTGACCGGTAAAGGCGTGTCCACGGGCTTGCATCCAAGGAGATTTGCCTCATCAATAATATCAAGAGCATACTTACGTTGATTCAAGACCATACCGTCAGGAGATCGAGCACACTTGATACCCAGAAAATAAGACACCGGACCAAGATCCTTTAGATGAAAGCAATCATCCAAATATTTCTTGAAGGAAGTGCATAAGGACCTATTATTACCTGCCACCAAAATATCATCAACATAAACAAGGAACACGGTGGAGAACAAATAGAGTATGATCGGCATGGGCCTGACGAAACCCATACTGCCGTAGAGCCACACGAAGCTTAGTGAACCAATTACGAGGTGACTGGCGAAGGCCGTATAAGGACTTACGAAGACGACAGACCTTCCCTGGAAAAAGCTGAGTATAACCTGGAGGGATTTTCATATAGACCTCCTCCCATAAATCCCCATGAAGGAAAGCATTGTTGACATCCAACTGATCAACAAACCAACCACGAGCCATTGCAACAGACAACAAAACACGAACGGTTGCCAATTTGGCAACAGGGGCAAAAGTATCAGTGTAGTCAACGCCCAGCTCTTGATGATTGCCCAAAACAACAAGACGCGCTTTATCGCGTTCTTTAGTACCATCAGAATGATATTTGGTCCGGTATACCCACTGACAACCAAGGGCCCGACGATTAGGAGGAAGATCTACAATGTCCCAAGTGTGATTCCGCTCCAGAGCCAAATATTCGGTGGCCATAGCCTCACGCCAAGAGGCATACTGAACAGCTTCACGAAAATTACGGGAAACTGAGGTGGCATCAATGGCTCCAAGAAAACCCTTATACCTGTCATGCAACTTAGAATAATGAACAAAGTTAGTAATAGGAAATCGAGTACCAGATCGTGAAGAACATTTGGAGACCGGAGCCGGAGTGACAATCTTTGCAATATTGAGAACATAATCGTTAAGGTGGGACGGACGACGACGTGTGCGAGGCGGAAGGGATGGAAGTATGGGCGATGGAGAAGTGGTCTCCACCGAGGAAGACTCAGGGCTGTCGTCGTCATCGGAAGAAGTGGAGGGGCTGGCAGACTCCGGCGTGGACTGGGACGGGGACTGGGCGGCGGGCTGCTGGGTCGCCGGAGTGACAGGGACGACTGGACTGGTGGACGCCGGCTGGGTCACCGGTACGGCAGGGGGGTAGGTACGGGGGAACAGTGAAATCGGACAGGGAGGGAGAGAGGAGAGGTTGAGAGCTAGACGAGGGAATGAGGATGGCGAATGGAAATACGGTTTCATCAAAGGAAATATCCCTCGTGTGGAAAAAACGATGTGTGTCAAGATTATAGACTCTCCACCCTTTGGTACCATATGGGTAACCCAGAAACACACATTTAACACTTCGGGGTTGGAATTTATTTTTGGGTGTAGGAACAGGATGGACATAACAAAGACACCCAAACACCCGGAGATGACTTAAATCTTGAGGTTTGGAGGAAAGAATTTCAAGTGGTGACTTACCCCCAAGAATTTTTGTGGGAGTACGATTGATTAAATAAACAGCCGTTTTAACACATTCTCCCCAAAATTCAAGTGGAAGAGATGCCTGAAACATAAGGGATCGGGCCACATTCAGTATATGACGATGTTTTCGTTCTACCCGCCCATTTTGTTGTGGGGTACCAACACAAGACGTTTGAATACACACACCCAAGCTCTCATAATATTGACGTAAAGGAGAATTGAGAAACTCAGTACCATCATCAGAACGAACAATTTTAATTATTTTGGAGTATTGGGTGTAGATCATTGTGAAAAATCGGCGTAAACAAGAAGTAACTTCACTCTTTGATTTAATCAGATAAACCCAGACAGCCCGAGAGAAATCATCAACAATTGTCAAAAAATAATGTGCCCCAGATGAGATGCAAGGTAAATAAGGCCCCCACAGATCACAATGAATTAAATCAAAAATAGCATCAGCTTTATTATCACTAACACGAAACGGAGAACGAGTTTGTTTGGACAAAAAACAAATTTCACAAGACTGTAATTTTTGGATAACAGACTGTGTCTTATTAGTACCAAGAAAAGGAAGAACATCGACGGAGGGATGGCCCAGCCGTTGATGAAGAACAAAAGGATCGATATTGGCTACGAGTGCTGACGCAAGAACGGATGCAAAGACATACACGCCATTTCGCAAATCACCCTGTCCAATCACCATCTGCGACGAACGGTCCTGTATTACACAACGATGATCATTAAAAGTTACATAACAGGTATTGTCACGAATTAAACAATCAACAGAAATCAAGTGACAATGTAAGTTTGGTACGTATAACACATTCCGCAGTACCAAACGAGATGACAAATGCACACTTCCCTGCTTGACGGCCTGAACACGAGACCCGTCAGGGAGACAAATGGAGTGAGGAGAGACATCCTCAACATTAAATAAGTGAGCAAGAGAACCTGTCATGTGGTGCGAAGCTCCACTGTCAATTAACCAGTTAGAAGAAGAATTACCAGTGTACGTATGAGATGCCGACGCCTCCAACATCGACATTAAACGAGACATTTGATCACTGAGATTGCCACCTGAATCAGAGACAGACGCATGGACCGCAGCGGGGTTGCTGCTGCTGCTTCCCTAGACTGCCTGACCACTGCCGACGGGGTTACTGCCACCGCCTCCCTGGACCGCCTGCCCACTGCCGGCAGAGGTGTTGCTGCCGTACCGAGGACCACCGCGACCACCAGAGAAGGACCCCCCTCGGCTGCCACGACCTCGCCCCCCACCACGGGCGAATTGAGCTGGAAATCCAATGAGCTTAAAACATGTGTCAATGCTATGATTAGTACGACCACAATGTGAACAAGACGGTTTATTCGGTACGGGGAGGCGTTTGTCTTGTTTCGCGGCAAAAGCAACAGAGTCCGTACGATCATCACGAGCACGAATGATATGCCGATGACGCTCCTCTTGAGTGACCAAGAAATATGCACGATCAAGATCGGGCACCGGTTCGGTACCAATGATTTGGGAACGGATATTACCAAACTGTTCATCATCCAAGCCGAGTAAAAAATCCACTGTTTTGTCACGTTCAATACGGGCACGTGTGACCCCAGCAGCCTCACACCGGCAGCCCCCGATGAGGTCAGAAGAGCCATATAGTTGGTTCCACAAAGTGATAAACTGATTGTAATACGAAACGACGCTTTGACCCTTCTGACGGAGAGCATTTAACTCAGACTTTAACTGATACAAACGAGGCCCATTTGAACAACTATATCGTTTCTTCAAATCATCCCACAACTCATAAGCAATTGAATGAGAAACAATACTCGGTTGGATAGACTCATCAACACTGTTAAAAATCCAACTACAAATGATTTGATGATTAGCACACCATGCAGACAACTCATGCTCGTCAGTAGGTTTGATAATCCCTACGGACGACAAAAAAATAGATTTTCCACGCCTACCTAAAGCATTACGAATTGCCTTTTCCCAAACATCAAAATTGTCACTTTTGAGGAGGTATTTTGTCAAAGAATTACCCGGACCTTCGGAGGGATGAAGGTAATATATAGACGACGGATCATGAATCAACCTTGTCTTTTTAGGGTTTGATGTAACTTCACCGGACATGATGGTGATCGGTGAGGGACAGGCTGCGGACGAACGGCGAGACAAACCAGCGAGGGAGAGGACCAGACGAGCTCCTTCTCCTACGCACCAGAGGAAGACCAGCGAGGGAAAGAAACTATCTCCGAGGAGGACGACGGCGCACCAACGACGTGAGCGCAAGGGTTTGACGAATAGCCCTAGAAAGGCTCTGATACCATGTAGAAACTTATTTACGTGAAAACTTGCATTTTACATTAGTTACACGGGATATATATACATAAAGTCTCGGGCCTATGATTTACTTGGCCCAATACACAATAAACAAATATGTACAAATATACTAGGCTAACAGAATCATATGTACGAAACATATAATATTGCTATTTAGAGTATTTTAAGACTCTAAGAGTGCTATTTTGATTTTTCTCCCTCGCTACTTATCTCAATTTCTTTGTGGTCACACATTAGCGGAGTAAAGATACCACCCCAAACAGAAGTAAAACATTGAGAAAGTGAAGTATCAACATAAAAGTTTCATGTTTTTATTCTCAAAATAGAAATTTGCAAATATGGGCATTTCACAATACTTATTTATGCTACATATTAGCATGATTAGAATTGTACGGAGTATATGTATTTTAACTCATATTTTGAGAATAAAAACATGAAACTCTTATTTTAGTATATTTTTTATGTTTTATTTCTACTTTAATTTTTTCCCTTTGCATCACACTGTTTTAGATCACCACCATCTCCGCTCTCTCCAGCGGACACTACTTATACACCATCAGATTTTTCAAAAAAAAGAACCACCATTTTGTTAATTTTTGAGATTTGATCTTCTACATCTCACTTTTGTTAATTATCTTCACTCTTCTGTGTTCCCATTTCCAATCCTCATCACTACATGGACATTAAAGACTATAGACATTGGTATTTTTCCCAATAGATAAAAAAGACTTAGAACATACTCCCTCCGTCCCAAAAAGTTTGTTACGTTTAAAAAAACTGCGTCTCTTAAAGTCCGTTACATTTCTATTAAAAAACTACTTTTACCCCTTACTTTTTCATACCCTACTTATCACATCATACCTTTTTTCTAATAATCTACCCATCACATCCTACTTTTACCCATCACATCAAGGGTATTTTTGGAAAGTCAATACCAAAATATCCATCCCTTAATTTCTCAAAAAGTCAAACCGTCTCATTCTTTTTGGGACGGAGGGAGTATTAGACAATTTCCATAAGGACAATAATAAAGAAGATTGAGGACATTAAGATTGCAATGACATGTGCAATGGGCATTCAATTACATATAAAGCGGTTAAAATACTATGGATATTGTCCTTTTTTCTTTTTGAGTATAAAAGTTTTGAACATAGTGGATAATGTCCATCCAGTAGAAGACATTATTGGAGATAATGGGCAGCGGTAGTGGCTGGACAGTCGACAATGATTGCCGATTGTGATGGGTGATCGATATTGGGTTGTGATGAATGACAGGTGGTGGCCAAATTTTTAAATTAGTGTTTAAAACCTAAACGGGCATTTTGGTACATTTATATAAATAATTGATTAATTATTAATTAATTAGGTACTCGTTAAGTACATAAAAACAGATGGTCGTATTCTGGCCAAATGAGTACGTATTGATCCTATTTAAGTAATTTTCTCGGTAGTAAATAATTTGAGAATAAGCTTTTAAATCTTACAAGAATTGATCCGGTTTGTTTTTTATCTAAAAATCTGAATCAACAATATTTAATTTTGAATAGAAGTTTTACTATCAAAAAGTAATTATTACTCATAATAAATATATTTGTACATAAATAAAGAGTATCAAAATTTGATATACTTCGTATCAACCCCCCATCTTAATATGAAGTCAATTATATAAATCTAGATTATAATTAAATATTTTTGTTCACAAATCACAATAAAGGTTTGCAAAGTTATACTAAAACAATCACATGTAAAAAACATTCTAGAATAGTTGAAGTATGAATAAAGATTTTCCAACAATGCATACTCTAATGAAGAAGAAAGTCAATGTTTATAAGTTAGGGAGACTATATTTGGCCCCAAGAATTTGAAAGAAAAAAAGTGAATAGAAAATGATGTAAAAATTAAGTTTTTAAAATTGGTTTGGCACTGGTAGAAAAATGTGGAAAATGAAAATGAAAGAAAAATTATTAGAGTACCTCAACAATTATAAACCATTTGTACACTAAAGATAAAAACAAATATTTTATGTCTCTTCGAACTCAAATATTATTTGTGTATTTGTCTTTAGTGTATAAATAGTGTACCCTAGCATTTCCGAGGTAAAAAGTAAAGTAATAATAAGAGGGGAAACACATTTTTCTTTACCTCTCCTTTCTAATTGTAGAGAAATACACTTCATTCTTCCTTCTCATTTGTCTTTGTTAGTTCTGAGCATATAGTTGTCTTTATCTCTTAGTTTCACATGGATAGTAGCTGTCATTGTGTTTCCTTTTTGTATATATCTTGGGAGTCAGGAGATTGGATTAATCTAAATATAAAAAACAATCTATGTATTAAGTATTATGTTGAAACAATCTTACATGAATCCTATTTCTTCATGGTATCAAAGCTATGGAAAATCTATGTATTATGTTGAGCTTTCAATATGCCAAACACAAAAGTTGTTGAATGAAATTTATCAAGGAAATATGACAATGGCTTCATATTTCACTTAACTCAAGAAACACTGGAAAGTTTTACAAGAATTAAGTGAATTTTCCTCTTGGGAATGTGGCAAAGTGAAAGAATTTAGTTGTGATTATCTTGAGAAGTGGACTACCATTGATAATAGGAACAGCTTGATGCAGTTTTTGATGCACCTTTAGTTGATGCTTCCAAATGATTATATCAGCTCCTGTTGTTTTTTCAACCTTTAGGTAGACTGCTTCTTCTTAGCAGGACACCATTTGAATGTTTGAGCATAAAAAAATGAACACAAAGCAAAAGTTCAAGTACAAAAATGGAGTTTCCTTTCTTTAACAAAGAAAAATATGCACTTTAAGCAGAGAGTAGCAATAATACAACACTTATTTAAACTCAGCATACAATGTGTAAGCAACTGTTTAGCCAAAGAAGCTCAAGTATGATCCCTCTGAAAGTAAAAAAAAAATAGAAAACAATATGAAAACAACCATTTTCATTTTACTTGTACCTCTTCCTAATCATCATCTGCAAATTGCAAAGCTTGACAGATCACTCTCTCCTCCTCTTCCAAATCATCATCTCCTTCTTCATTCACATTGCTGAAGAATGACTTCCTTCCTGCCAATTCAGCCACTCTTTTGGCAGGTCCCGAATCCCTGGGACTCTCTTTCACAAGCCTATTGGTATTGATTCTCGGAAGCAGCAGCGCTTTATCGGGCATTACTACACAAGTCTTGGGTTCTTCTTCTGATCCCTTATGCAACACAATCTCCTCAGGAATCTCCCATCTCTTTTTCGCCCGGATTTCAGCTCCCGGGTTCTTCACCATCTCCAGAAGCACTTTTCCAAGCGACAAAGACCGTTTCTTTTCGCATCTCTTGCTTTCCTCCTTGTCGTTTTCTGGTGGAAAAGATCTCTTCCTCTGCGTTGATGGGCTCAGATTATAGCGGCTAGGGACGATCCTCCCTGCCCTTGGGAATTTCTTGTTGGCAGCAGGTGCAGACTTCTCAAAGAGCTTCTTGGGCTGGACAGATTGCAAAAAGACTTCATCTTTCTTCACAGTTTTCTTTGATGGAAGCGTAGTCACTGCCTGCCTCGAAGGGATGGGTTTCCCCACAGTCTTTCTCTGGTTCTCTTCATCAGTTTCTTGAAGCTTCCAGAAACATGATTTTCTTCTGCTCTGTATGGGTTGAATTGGGGTAATCATCCCTTGCTTGCCAAGAAGAGGCGATTTGACAGCAGAAAGAATCTCACATGGCCCCAAACTGAGTCCCCTCCTCTGAATTTTCGATTTCTCCTCAATCTTTTTCCTCTCATCGGCATTCTTGAGGGTCTGTTTGGGATCCAAGAACTTTGCAGTCACAACCCTTCCTCGCTTTTCCACATTCTTGACAGATTTCTCAGCTTTCTCCGTCCTCAGAGCCTGTAATCTTGAAGACAACAAACTGATTTCCTTCTCAATCTCCTCGATCTCCTTGTCAATCATCTTCTCATCCCGAATCTCTACCTCTGCATTATTAACAGATCCAGATTTGAAATTCCCAACCCCAGACACGAATTTCGAATTTTCCAGAGCTCCGTTTGGGTGAAGAGGCTTGACTGCGCGTCTGGGAGATTTGGGGCAAATCGAGTTCTCAAGAAGAGGACTCCGATTCTCCTTCTCTTTAGTGGAAACAGATCCGAAGGACTCTGCAATCTTCTTCACCAAAAGGGGTTTCTTTGGAGACCAAGAACGCCCCAGTTCTTCAGCACAGCCATGGTCGAACGCTGCGTTG